AGTGAGAGCTCCTAAGCGAATATACTTCTCGTTCATCGAATAAACGTTTACGAAAGTTAAAGAAATTATTATCAATAGTAAATATCTTCGTGAAGAGTTTTAAGAGTTATCTTCGCTCTTTAATACGAGACTATATGAATAAAACTCATTAAGAAATTCTTTTAATATAGAAAGACTAATATAGAAGATTATTATAGACTGGTCTAAGAGAGTTAAGTATAATACCGGTAAAGACACTTTAACGAAACGATAAGCGAATAAAGTGATTTAGTACGAATTTAAAGCTATTACATAAGTATTCTAAAGATTAATCGAAGTATTACCGACTAATATTAATTCGAGATAATCTCTTTAGTGTTACGCTATCCTCGAAGTAATTCGAATTATAGAAAGAGTAGAGACTAAAAAAGATATATTAGAAATTTAGCGAATTCGAGACGCTTTAAAGAAATTTAAAGAGTATAGTCGCGGAGTAAAGAAATCTCTTCGCGGCGAAAATTACTACTCGGGAGAATATATAATTAATAAGAAAGAATTAGAATATCTTTTACTTAGTGCGGATTATAACGATTAGTTATCTATAGATTACGTTATTAGAGGCATCGCGGCCTACCGAAAGCACTAAGTGAAAGACGAATGAAATATGATCTACTTATATAACGTTCGAGAGATATTTACGTTTATAATCTAACCGCGATCGTAGCGATAAGATAAGTTTATATAGAAGAAGCTAATTCTCTATCGAGAGATTAATTATTAGTGATTAATATACGTCGATCTCGATTCTCGAATCGTTTACGCTATGAATTCGATTAGAAAGCGTACGGTAAAAGACTTAATAATTTCGATTATTTTAGAGTATCTTAACTCTTAAGTTCGAGTAAAGTTCGAAGACGGTAGATAGTTTATATTTTAGAATATTAATATTAATAAATAACTAAATGACTATAATTACGAAATATTTATTATCTTTTAAGCTAAAGCTCTTATAGAAAACGGTATTAAAGCTATTAAAGAAGTTAAAATCGACACTTCCCATCGAGTTTAACTCATTTAGAATATTCATTAAGCTATTATTAGAGATGAAAAGATATCATTATTATAACCGTCTCGCGTAGAAACTAGTGAATAGTAGCCATTAAAGTCTATTATAATAGCTACTCTAGATAAAAGTATTATTAATCTCATTAATTAAGAGAATACGAACTAAATATTATAGACTTATATCGATTTATATAGCGAAGAGAGAATAGATTTAGAATATAATAGTAATAACTCTTAGAATAGAATTTTAACGCTAAGAGTGAACTCTCTCTTTTCTCGCGTTACTTAGTTAGTTAAGGAAGAATTCTAAGAGCGAACCCTAGAGTTACTAAGTAATATTAATATAGAAATAGACTCGATCCTAAGATAGAGTGATTATTAAAGCGAAATATTAAAAGCGTCTTCGATATTCTTATATAGATCGAGTAGATCTATTATATCTACTAATAATATTTTAGTTCGTATTCTAGATCTAATAAGAGAGGAGAATCTACTCCCGTTACGAGCTTCTTCTTATAGTGCTGCGGACCCGCCCCCTAGATAATAATAGAGTTAGATAATTCTTAAGTATACTATATACTATCGAACGAGGTCGTTCTATAAATAGAAGAGAAAGAGATATAATAAGATAAGGTAACTATACTATAATAGGCTATACTGGGCTGATAGAGCGGTGATAAGATGAAAAAGTTATTTAGTTATATATTAAATCTAAATAGGCTAGTAGAGAGGAGATACGGAATAGTTTATAGTGCTAATAGTGTACTATTCATTTTTACAGATTAAGTAGAGTATTATGAATTCCATGGCTTTTAGTGCCGTCTACCTAAATCCTAAGAGTGTTTTATTAGTTCTGTCCTGTTCCTCGATGCTGCCGCTGTGCTAGGTGTTCGTAGCCCTAGCCGCTGCCTCTCTGAGTGGTGTTGGTGGTGTTGTTGTTAGTATCAACCAGAAACGCGTTCTCGATTCTCGATCTGCTGGACAGGCCTCTGTGCGTTGTTGCACGTGCACGCTAAACCCTGAAGTGCTCTGTTACAATAGAAACCTAGAAAATACTTTATCGGTGCTCTTATACGAAAAATAATTAGAGAGTTCGACGAAAAGTATAGTGTATATACTTAATAAGAAATATCTCTTATTTAAATAGAGTAAAAATATACTTAGTTTCACTATAAAGAACTACTTATAACCTACGCTATGTAAAGGCGATACTTTTATAGATCGTTTTAAGAGTTCCGATCTATCTTTAAGAATAAATATTATTCTACTATCTATATATATTCTATATTTTAGAGAGATTTCGTTCTATCTTCTAAGAATAATATTATTCTATTATTTATTTATATTCTATATAGCTTTAGTATTAGTACTATAAACGAGAAGAATAACGTCGTCTAAAGATATCGTTATTTTAGCGACTATAGATCTAAAGACGTTCTTAATTTATATATTCGACTTATATTTTAGAGCCGCGAAGAGTAACTAACTATACGTTCGATACTCTTTAGTAAGCGCGGACGACGGTAGCGAAAAAGAAGAAAGAGATAATAATAGTCATCTTTAAGACCGGCGAAGCCGGAGAAGAGAAGAGAGAAGAGAAGAAATTACTAAAATAACTAGCACTTTAGTCTATTTTACTATTAGTGATTTTTTACTCGAATTAAGTAGAATAATAAGTATATCGAAACCTAAGCTATAATTCTTCTCGTCGTTATTAACGAAGATAAAAGAAGCCGGGAGAGAGAAAGTTACTATTCTAATTAGTATTATTTCTTTATCTCTTAATATTATTAATAAAAGATAAAAACGTTCATTAAAACGTCTAGTAAATATTAAATCTCTCTAAGATCGAAGAGATCGGTATCGTCGTTAATCTTATAAGTACGGTTAGCCTTTCAAAATATAGACTTAAGTCTCTATACTTAGAACTTAAATTATTCTCTAAGATAAGTATTAGTGATTCTTTACTCGAATAAGGCGGAGAATACTTATATCTAGTCGGCTAAAATAGTCGAATTATCACTATTAACGGAAATTACTCTCTCGATGAGAGCCTAGAGAATACGATAATTTATCTATGGATTAACGAGGATTTAATTTATTTAGTGTATTATTAATCTTAGCTAAATTCTTACTTACGGCGACGTAGCTAGCGTTAAGTCGAGAGCGAAAGTAAAATCTATATAACTTAGACTAAGTTTAGTCGTAGAGTAAGATAGAGAAGATTAGCTCGGAGCTAGAAGTAAACGAAGAATCCGTAAAGCCGCGAAAAGCGCTTCTTTCGTTAGTACGCTATTATTATTCTAATATTATAGAACTTATAATTCTTACTAATAAGGCTAATATTATAGTCTAATTAGAACTAAGTATTTAGCTAAACTTTCTTATATATAAGAGACTATATATACGTTAGTAGCGTCTCTCGTCTAAGCCGGGTGAATAATACTTATATATCTTATATTTAATCTAAACGAGAAAGAGAGAGACGAAGAAAACTATAATAAAAGACTTAAGAACTAAAGTAAAGGCTAAAGTGAATTAAATCTTACCCGTATTACTATAATAATATAAAACGGCTATCTCACCTAAATTAAATAGAAATTTAATTACTTATTATTATTAGTGAATAGCTATTTAACTACTATATTATTATCTTCGTTATTAATAATTAAGACGGCCTATCTATATAATAAATTAAGGCTATCTTTATACTCATAGCGACTCGAGAGCGAGTCGCTTTTTAGAGGGAAGGTAACTATTACGAGTTCACCGTTATCCCTAAGTACTCTACGCTCTTTATTTGAATCGGGTGAACGGTATAGAAAGAAAAGGATAAGGTAAAGAATGGTTAAAGTATAAGACTATCGGTTAACGCTACCTTACTCTTTTTACGTAATAAAAGAGAGGAAACTATAAGAGTCTCCTCTTACTCGAATTAGCTGAGAGAGAACTCTTTCTTTTTCTTAAGCGTTGAGTCGTTATTAATAGGACTACGTAAATAGAACAAGATATTTAGTTACTCCTATTTCTTTGTATTTACTGCGTCACGTAGGTCTCTAATAGAAACGTTCACGGGTAATTAATGATATTCGATATAGTCGCTGAATCTTATATAGTATTATTTCGTACCGATAGAGAGATTCCGAGAAATCGTCGTGTTAGCGCTATTAATAGCTATCGCGGCGGCGCTTATGAGACTATTAGCTTAGCTAGTAGCTCTTAATACGGCTATTACCGTATTACTTACTATGCCGCTAGCTTCGCTCGCGATGAGCGGAATAAGGCCCCTTATAAAGAGCGGTACGTACGCGTCGGTCTACTTAAACTACGGGACCATAAAAATTAATTAATTAGCGATCGCTCTATTTCTAACCCTTATAACGTAAATACTCTCACCGTAAAGATAATAATATTAGCTATTATATTATCTTTATTATAAAGTAGTTTAAAGCTTAAAACCGTATAGTAGATTAGTGCGGCCGCGAATATAAACGATATACTAACTTTAACTTAACGCTTCTCGCTTAGCATTATAACGTAAATTTAAATAATTTAATCTTAGGAAAGACGAGATACTTATTAAGATTCCGACTGAGGCCTAACCAAGTTAGAGTTCCTAGTAACAATCTAAATAGTATGAACTGGTTAAGAGTTACGTAAAGTATGAGCGGCGCTTTATCACTAAGAACTATATAGTTTAATAGATAATATAAGTTAGCTACGAAGAGAGTATAAGCTATCTAGGGAAAGAAGCGTAACTATATACTTATAGAGCCCTTCCGAATAAGGCAATATTGAATAAAATGTCGGTATACTAGTATGGCCTCTCTACTATATTCCACTATTTCACTATATTATACTTTTCTAATTAGGATACTACGTAATAGATTTAGCCTCGCTCTTCGAGATTATCTTTCCTTCGGCTAAGCTTCCTTTCTTAGTGAGCTCCTTACGCTTCCGTAGTTCGCCTAAGGCTATATCTAATATTATCTCTCTCTTAGACTTATTCGTTATTCTCAACGTACTTAAGGTAGACCGTGTCTTCGTATATTCTCTCTTTCTTCTCTTTCTCTTCTTATAGCTAATTATATAGGGTTTCCGTATATTGAAAATTCGTCGCTTCTCTAAATCTTCTAAGCCGAAAAACGAACGTTAGCTTAAGCTCGCTGAGTCTATTTTCTCCGATCGAAATAATCTCGTTATAGTCGTCTATATTTCTTACGTAAACCTTAGTATACTTTATTATTACGATAGGGAATAATCGATGAAATACGCTGAGTATTTATAGCGCCAACGGAATTATAATGAAACGTTCTCGATGGAAGAGTTTCGTTAAGTAAAGAAATAGAAGAAATTACTGAAGGCGTAGTCTCTAGAGAAGAAACGCTAACTTTAAGAGTTACGGCGAAAGCTTCTATAGGTAAGGCGCGCGTTATTAAAGATAGAGTCTAAGAACCTCTAAATTCGTAATGAGCTGACGAAGCTTAAAGAGAAATCGAGTCGAATATTAGAACGAAAGATACGTGCTCTAAGAGTTTTTAATAGTCTCCTTACGAACGAGGAAATAGCTCTTACGGAGTCTATTTCTTCGTTATTCGATTTCTTAAACGTCGGGCCACTTAACTAGAAGGCTATACTAACTAGAACTACTCCGGGTAATTCTTCTTCGTCTTCTTTAGGAGTTCTTCCGAAAGGTTCGTCTTTAGCTCCTAGCTATTTTTATATTCATCGTACCCTAATCACTTAATTAGATACTAAGAAGTGCTACGTATAACGCGTCTTTTAAGAATTTTCTTTATATCGTATTTCTCTAGTGCTAGTTCCTTATTTAGCGGTAGTGTTTTAATTAGTTTAGTCTTCTTTAGTGCTAGTTTAAGAAGTGCTTTATAAAATATATTATATATACGTATATCTATTAGTAGTTCTAGCCGATATCTAACGTCTTCGAGTTTATTTTTAATTCTAAATAGTTCTAGTTTTATATGATCTAGTTTTCCGCTTAATCATTTCGTTTTAATATTTTTTCGTAAAAGATAGACGAAGTTTCTCTTCTCTAGAAGCGATTTCTCGATTCGTTTTTTATTTACGTACTTTACTATTCTTTCTATAAAAAATTCGAGATCTAATTTAAGCTAATCGTATAATTCTCTTATCGTAGTTACTATATTTAAAGCTCTAAGATTTGGACTTCTATTTATTATTTCTTTTAGTCGTAGATGAAATCCGTAGTTTATAAAGAATAGACTTATTTTTATTATTAATTTATAATTATTAAAATAGAACTATACGACTAGTAGTAGTTATACTTAATTAGTTTAACTATAGTCTACGTATATTCGTAAATATTATTCTAGAGTTTAGTTAGTTCGTTCTATCTATTTATCGATCTATAAGTAGAATAATATAAATAACTTATACTTCGTAGTTAGTAGTTTCATTAATACTTTCTAGAATTTAAACGTAAAGAGCTTATCTCTATCTATAATAATTTCTTTTAGTATATCGTAATTAGCGAATATAGTTTATAGAAATTTATATACGAATTCTTCTACTATTAATTTCTCTAGATATAGTCTAAAGTAAAAGAACTTTATTAATCTATTATATACTATAAGTATATTATCGTAAGTTACTTTCGTAAGAGATTTCTTAGACTTCGATAATTTTACAATAAAATCGAACGTAATCGATGTCTATACTTCGTCTAAAGTCTATAAGAGTTATAATAGTTCGTAAGATTTATATCTTATATCTTTAGTTTATACGTATATTTCGTATTAGTTAATAAATTCTTAAATATTCTTTCTTATATATTTCTAAGAGTCGTAATACCTAGTAATAAGTTCGATTATCTTATCGACTCCCGAATATTTTATTAGTGAGTCATTATAATAATATTTTATAACTCTTAGTCGTACGACTTTATTATAAACTCTATCTATGAAATAATATTCTTTAATATTGATATCGAGATCGTACTTATAGTTATCTTTCTTAACTAATTCTTTAATACTTTCTACTACTAATATTAATTATATATAGATTATATAGTTCTTTTTCATTCATAGAAGAGATATTAAAGTTAGTTTAATATTTTTATATAATTTAGTCGTCGGCTTAAAGTATCTACTTTATTATTTTCTTTCTCTTTAACGTAATAGATCTTAAAGTTATACGGAGTTATGGTTTTTACTTATTATATTTATCTTTTATTAAGTACTTTAATTATATTCTAATAGAGAAGATTCTTATAATCTAAGTAAATCTTTACTAAGTATTTAAGTTCTTCTAAGTATACTCTCTAATATTTAAGTACTTTCACTATTATAAGTAATTCTTTATCATAAATATCGTAGTAAAGCTCTAGTTCTATTATTTTTCTTAAAAAGTAAATAACTAATTTAGTTCTCCTATCTTATTCTTCTTATATTAAAACTACGGCGATCGCGCCGTCCGATACGTTTATTTTAAGAAAAATTTATCGTTCCGAGTTAAAGATCGTAAGAATCGAAGTCTTAGTAAAATCTTTCTTAAGTCTCTTAATTATCTACTTAGTTTCTTCTATTAAAGAAAAGATCGCGACTTCTTTCTTCGTTAGATTTATTAAAGGTATAGTGATTTATAAGTAATTTCGTATAAACTTCCGATAGAAGTTAGCGAATTCTCAAAACGATTATAGTTTCTTTAGTGTAATTAGTTTTAGCTATTTTAGTACGCTTTTAATATAGTCGAAGTTTATCTTAAGCTCTTCTTTAGTAACTATATATTCTAGAAATTTAATATTATCTTTATAAAATTTATATTTCTTAAGTTTAATCGATAATTAATATTCTTAAAGAATCTTAGATATCTTTATAACGTATTCTATATATTCTTCGTAAATCTTAAAATAAATTAAGATATTATCTAAGTAAGCGATATAAAAGATATCTAAGTACTTTTTTAATACGTTATTAATAAGTGCTTAGAATATCGTAGATACGTTAATAAGTCTAAATAGTATTATATAGTACTTAAATAGTTTATATTAAGTTCTAAAGACTATTTTCTATTTCTCGCCTTTCTTTATATATATACGGTAATATATATCTTTAATATTAAGTATTATAAAATATTACGCTTCTTTAAGCCGATCTTAAAGTTCGTTAATTTTTAGTAGCGAGTAGATATTCTTAAGAGTAATATCGTTTAACTTTCGATAGTTTATATATAATCGAAGTTTTCCGTCTTTCTTTAGAATAAATAGAATTAGATATTTTACGTCTAACTTAAATAATTTAATATAGTCTTTCGCTATATATTTTTTAAGATACTTTCTTAAGACTTTTTACTCTCTTTCTAATAGCGAATATAATAGTCTAAATATAGAGTATTTTTCTTCTTAAAGACGTATCTTATAATTCTATAGTTTATATTTCGATAGAGTCTCGATTTCTACTTTCTTTTCGAATATTAACTTTAATCTTTCGTATTCCGGTGAATATTCCGTCGTTATATTAATGAATATACGTACTAGTCGTATCTAGATAGTCTTTTTTATATATTTTCGTACTAAACTTATCTTAAGTTCCTAGATTTTCGCGGTATAATCGTAATTATTAAACCGTATTTAGATTCTAGCTTAGTTAATAATTAAATTATAGTATTTTAACTATAATATATTTAGTACTATATTATATTTTATATCTATAATATCGAGATCTAATTCTTCTTAATATTCGTCGATCGTAAGTCGTATTAATCGTAACTTATATATAAGTTCGAATATAATAGTGCCGTTAAATCCGATAATAACGTCGGATCTTAGTCTTTTAACCTTCTATTACGATAATTTTAGTATATACTATATTTCCCGTATATTTAGAGTTAATTAGAATACTAATCTCTTAGTCTCTTAATATATCTTCGAGAAATATAGATTTAGCGTTAAATCTTATAATTATATTTAACTCGAAGTATTAGTTTCTTCTTTCTTCTTTAGTTCTAATTAATTATACGCTGTTTTTATCGATCTTCTAGCGTCGACGTCTTTTAGAAATATACTTTCGGTAATATAGGTGTCTTTAGTTCTACTACCGTTCTAGTTTTTTAGCTAATGAAGATAATTTATTCTTCTATTCTTTTGATTAAATATCTTATAGTTATATACTACGCATCGTTTCATCGATTCTTCGTAGACTCGCTATACTTCTACGGTAGTTATATTTAATCTTTCTAATTATAGATAGTCGAGATACTATATATATAAGTGAGAAGTTAGTTGTAGTAAATAAGCGTAAATTATTCTATAGAGAAATAATCTCTAGATACTAATATTAAATAGTATTTTTATAAGTTAAGATACTCGAACTCTTCGCTCTCTATAAGTTCTTAGAATCGCTTAAATCTCTATCTCTACTTTAGCTAAAATTCGATTAGTCGTTAATCGCGCTTATATCTTCTCCTTAGATATCTAGATAATTATTACGATTTCCCTAATATTATTTTCCGTAAGAGCCCGTAATAGTATT